AGAGAGAGAGAGAGAGCGCTGGGTTATCACAGTGGAGGTGACCGGCCTTGCTCAGAGGTCAGTTGTGGCCTTGGCGGTGAGGGCCTGGATGCGACTGGTGTTACAGTTTTTGCAGAGGACGTGTCCGTCCAGAGGGTAGCAGCCCTGGTTATCCCCCTCTGAGAGCAGAGAGCCACAGTCCTGCAGGACACAGATACTCTGTTAGTCCACACAACACAAACGGAGTCATTAGCCACGCTCACCGATCAGGCACATTCATACGCTCACTGTGCTCACACCCTAAACGAGACATTTACTGCTGTTTAAAGACTCAGCCAGTGTCAGGCTACAGGAGGCTCTCTGCAGAAAAGCCTGGTAGCAGCTGGTGAGTCTGGAGGGGCAACAACAGGTTATTACAGGGTAACAGTCAGACAGAAGATCTCCTTGTCTTCACTTTCTAGCACCTAAGAATTTGAAGTGTTTAAACATTGTCTTTGGAGGTCTTTACAGTTGGGTCATACAGTTATTTTAAGTGCGATTTTAAAATGACACTCCTTTTACAGATCTTAAGATGAATATATTTCATCTAGTCTCTTCCAAGAGTGGATATGTCGATGCATATTTGTCTTGCTTTCTCTTGTTTTTGTTTCATCGGTACATTTTGCTATTGCTGAAGTTGTGTTTGCTAGTTCAATCTTTTTGCACTAATAAAATATTATTATTATTCTCTATCCATGCAAGGGGCGTGACTATTGGTCGGTTAGGCTACCACTTTGGTCCAGAATGAACAACTGTTGGATGAACTACAATGAAATTACAGAAATTCGTGGTCCCTAGATGATGAATCCTCATGACAACTGTTGGATGGATTGTTTTAATATTTGGTAAAGACATTCACACCTCCCTCAGGATGAACTGAACTTTTATGATGATGGATGAACTTTATCATGAGGTCTAAATCTTTGGTCCAGTACTTTATGATTGCATTGATATTGATATGATTGCGTTTGTGTCTATATATTGTGTATTTCCTGCTCTGCTGTGACTACTTAATAATGTTTGAGGAATACGTTTTTTAAATTGAAATGTTGATCTATTGAAGTACAGTGTCTGACTGCAGCCTTCAGTTTGTTTTCTGATCTAGCAGCTGTAACACAGCGCTCTACACTCTTTTTAAAGGGTAATAACAAACCATAAGGACAATTTCACACACACAAATACAGATACATGCATTACTTTAGCATCTCTCTCTCTCTCTCTCTCT